AGGAGTGGCTCGGTCGGCGAGTCGGAGCTTGTTCTTCGCTGCCAACGGGGCTTCAAGCCGAGCCGTTGCTTATTATAGAAATGAATCACCGACGTGAAGGAGGACGAGGCGTGTTCGGGCTCTTGACTTGTTCGAAGCGAGTCAGTGCGATTATGTTCGCATCCCAATGCATTCTCCACGTGTAATAAAAAAGTAGAGCCGTGTTCGCTTGTAAGCCGCGGTTCGATTCAAACGATTAGAACTCACAATCACGGAGATGGTTGGCAACTGTCCCTTGGCATAACCAACTAACCCGTCTCGCAGAATTGAACCGTAATCCCGGAACACTCGTGGTCCTGATGCGACGTGCGGGCGTAAGGCCGCCTGCAACCCGGGGACAGTGAACACTATGACAGAGGGGAACCCTCTTGGTAAATGGGACCCCGGACATGTGTCCCCCTTCCACAGAGCGTCGGGGCTCGGGTAGGGGGCAGCCAGTGGTACGATGTGTTGCCTCGACATCCCACTTATTACATCAGTCTTGCTTCTCAGATTTACGGGTGCTTGGCAGACATCGCGGACGCCCAGTCACTTGCTCTCGAAATTGATCGGAGGGTCACTGCTCCCCCCTTAGTTTTTTTTTCCGCGAATTATTTCATAGGCACCTCGAATTAGTGAGATGTACCTACTAGGGTAATAATTCAGCTTCGTGACTCCCACCTGCTCTTCAGCCCGCCCGGTTGGGCTCTTGGCTCTTCTCCCGCTGTTTCGGTGCGCGGTTCGCGTCCGCCCAGCCACCTGCGTTTTGCATACGGCCGCCGCTGACCTTCCCGCAGAATGCAATGCATACGCCATGAGGCGGCTCTCGCAGGGGGGAAAAACAGGTTCGTGTGAGGGGGAACTGGGCGCCGCTAAATAAAGCTACACTGTAATGTCATTTTCTTCTCCCCCAAACTCTGTCTGCCGTAATTTACGCGAATTCGGACTTTTCTGGAAATTAGGGAAAGCGAAATTGAGTTTCTGGAGCGTCCTCTGAAAATAGGTGATGGATCTCGCGGGCAGCAGTGGAAGGTACATTGTCTGAGCGGTGGAGTTAAATAGTAAAGGAATTAGTGTTTTTTAACAATCCAGTAGACGAGCTCATGGAGAGTATTTTAACTTATTTATACACTCGCAATGTCTCTTTTGCAAAATTTTAGGCCAATGTTTAGTTTCGTCACTTGCAGGCAGAGACACCTTTTTTTAAGTGTGAATTATTTATTTCTGATTAACATAACTCTCTCAAAAGTATAGAATATTCGTATATACTTTCTAAACTTAGGTATTCAAGGTTTCATGTGCTCAAACGATTTGCATTTGTCGCGTCATGTGTTTTTTAACATTTCTAATAAAGAATTTTTACTATTTTTATGTCCTCTCAATGTCTTTTGTGGCTGTTTGATCGTTCATAGGGTGGAGCGGTTTGATAGATATGAAATATCTTAAACTTAGTATTTTGATGTGAAGCTTTGCTCGGCGAAAACGGACAGAGATTGTCGAAAAAGAATTTTGGGTGGTTTAAGATTTGTGTCTTCTAAAAAGCGTAAGTTCGAACTTTATATAGTTAAAAAGAATTATATTACTCATGCATGCCACTAATATGTTTTTATATTGGGACTGTAGTCAATGTAATAATGCACATGCCTATTACGTAGAGCATCTTTCAGGAGCGAGAATAATGAACATGTTCATCCCATCGATACCCTGCCGGCATCAGCTAAGATCAAATGCTCTGGACGTGGGAAAGATTTATCCAAAAAAGTGGAGAATACTACTCGAGTCTGATGGTTTTCATAAGAGTTTCGCTGCTGCTTTCATAACTCCCCAGCAGCATAATGTCGCAACAGCTACTGCCCGTCGCCTCCCAACCTCTGTTCCGAAAATTTCTCTTACCACCGTCGCCACTGCTTCCACAACCTCCGGCAACGCTATATGTCACCACTTCCGCTCTTGCCATTGCTGTTACTAACTTTACCTCTAGAAATGTTTCTGCAGTCAGCGCCACAGCTACTACAACCAAAATCGCTAGAGCTACCATTACTACCACCACCACCACCACCACCACCCACCCACCACTTAGGGAGCTTAGACGTTAAGAAACATCGAGCGATTAGTACCTAGCTCCGTGTCACCATCATTTCTATCGCCTACTATTCCCATCGTCATGACTCGACCGCGCTGGCCTGTGTCGCTGGTGGTCCACCACCTAAAATGCCCCTCCGAGTTTAGACATCCACCACCCGCCGCCCCGTTGCCTCCGTCGGGCTGCAGAGCGTGAGGCTGCGCTCTTCTTCTCGCGGCCGCAATGAGGCGAATGCCGTTACTCGCTGGTTGCAGCCGCCGCCGCCGGCGGCGCTGTTCACCGGCTTTATGGCGGTCTTTGTGCGGCGGCGGCGGCGCCTTCTTCTACTCACGAGGGCCCTGAGCGCGCGAAAAATCCATCCGCCGGCGCCAACACTTTTCTTCTTCTTCCTTCTCCTGGCCGGCGCCACCGTCCCTCGCGTGCTCCTGGATGTGTTGTTTATTAATTAGCGCGCGGGGCGAGCGGGATAAGGGCGCCCTTACGGGCCGAAGCTCCCTGCTGACTTATGGATGAAGTTCCCTTTTTGTGGAGCGTGCGGAATGAGGCAGACGGGGGTCTTCGGGAACCTTAGAAAAGCTGCAACAAAATTCGGGAGAGAGCACGAACTTCTACTTAGCGAAGCGTATTCAAGCCTTTGCGAGAAAGTTGGGTGGTGTTTCGCGTCTGCATCTTTGTCAGGGCGTGTGCTGCAGCCGTTTTTGTATCACGGCACTTTTTTATTCGATTGGGTGTACAGTTCATAGAGTAAAGAAAGAAGTCAAGGAATTTACAGTTGTTTCTGACAGATGACGGAGTAGTATCAATGAGCCTCCGTCCGTGCTCAACCTTTCTTTCTTCACTCTGCAAGCCGTTTCGTTGGGACGTGGAAGTGGGTTTACACCACACCACACCACACACCACACACTATTAGCGTATGGTACATCCCCGTGATTTAGTAAAGATGTGGATGTGGAACTACTGCGAATATGAGGATATCTCGCCAAAGCTCGAATATGTGTTCTAAAACCACGGAAGCAACAGGAAGAAATGTGAAATTATCCATCCGCAACCACGACGACCTAAATAGAGGAAAAAAGGGCTTTATTAATTTTACAGGAGAGCAGTTTAAAAAGTTTTCATATGTCAAAAAATTGACATGTCATTATTTTTACTATTTCTATCTGTGTTGTAATTACATTTTGAGTATAGTCCTTAATACTTCCAGGAGGAGCAATAAAATTCTAACAGGTGTGTGAAAATCTCTGGTATTGAAAACATTGGCAGAGGGGCCTCTTACCTCAAGGCATAGCTTTGGGTGACAGAAGCAATAATCTTCCTGATATAATAAACTGGAATGAAACTTCGAACTACCGATAAAAGTTGGTTAAATGTATCGTTAATATTCATAAGAATAAAACGGTATTTTTATTTTAAAAAACAAAAATTATCGTTAAAATATTTCCGGAGGCATGGAAACACGTTCACCGGGAGCCTGGAATCGAAAAGTGCCGACCCCGTTGGCCGAAAAGCGGCCGGGTGGCAACCCCACCAGCAGCGCATTCCTCTGCGCAACTCATGCTGAGCCAAACGGCGCTGCGCGGCGCGGCAGGCAGGCGCGCACTGGGGCGGCGGTTGGTCCCTTGCGGGCGGTGCGTGCGCGGTGACGCTTCCTGCTTCCTGCAGCTGCGGCCGCGACACCCGGAAGCGGCGCGGAAGTGGCGGCGGCGGCGGCGTGGCCTTCTGGGCTCAAGGTCACCCGGAGTCTCCGCCACCGCCACCGCCGCCGCCCGACGAATACGCGCATTCCCTCACCTCCTCGAAGATCTGTGTTCGGCGCGCAGTGGAAATGAACAAAGATGTTGAGGACTTTTCGGGGAGAGGCGTGGTCTAATGGGTGACACATATGTCTTCTATTGCTGGGGATCTGGGCTCGGTCCCTGGTCAGTGAAGTGTGCGGCGGACAATGTGAGTTCTCGATATGGTTGCGTAGGCTTCCGCGGCCGGAGTTTATGTTGGCTGGGCTATCCGGGACAAGCCGCGTCG